CAAGCCATGGAATCTCATGAATGTAGAAGATTCCATATGTTCATAGAGAAGTCCATGTCATAACCCCCATGCCAACGACTGCCCAGATGAGGTCAGAAGCCATCTTGAGACACAGTTTTCTGACTTCCGAGAGGATTTCTATGAGAAATAATGGATCATTTGTTGAAGCCAGTGTTACTGTCATAATGACCTACCTCACCAAAAAGACATGATTCGAGGTGAGGTTGTCTTGGCCTCTCAGTGAAGTACGGCCCCTTAAAAGAGCAGAATACACCTCTGTCACATAGCTAGATTGCGGACAGTGAACATCCCCAAATGTCTACAGCATGCACAGTACAAAGGGAACAACAGGGAGGTGGTCACCTCTACTTGAAGCATAGATCCTATCTGGACAAGGTCTTCTAAATGTCCTCATCCCAAGAGAAACATGGACCCTAAATTAAAAAGAAGACAACTCTGTCAATTGACTAGATAGTAGAACAATGACATCTCTGATGTAAAATGCCTACATCATGGCGCCACTCAAGCAATGGAGAGATGGTCAACCCCTATTTGACAGCCACTCACCAAGTTCTTGCTCTCTTGACTCATGGGTCCTCTTCAGACAGGGTCTTCTCCATGTCCTCTTCACAGAGGAAACAGTTGTGTGTATGAGTAGGAAGGCCACAACAGGTCTATGACATCAGATAAGAATTCCTTTAGCTCAGAAGGAACCAGAGGAACAAAAAAAATACAAGGTAAGGTGATACTCACAGAACTGCCTGATCCAGGTGTAAGGGTATGGCTCTTTCCTCCACTCCTACATGACCTGTAAAAAAGCATTGACATCCTTCTGATGGGTCCTCTTCATAAAGGGAGCATTCCTCACAAGGTGATACTCACAGAACTGCCTGATCCAGGTGTAAGGGTATGGCTCTTTCCTCCACTCCTACATGACCTGTAAAAAAGCATTGACATCCTTCTGATGGGTCCTCTTCAGATCATAAAGGGAGCACGTTGAATTTATCCAGTCTTACTCACCAGCTCGTTCTGTTTTCTATTATGTCGCTGCACATCTGCTTCTCCGAACATGACTTCTTGGCCAATGGAAGTTGGATTCCAACCAAGAACAGAGTCCTGGAAGCAACCCAACATATACTTACCTTCCTGTAAGATCCATTGAGCTCAGTGGGCCTTACCTGCATGGGACTGGGCAAACCTCAGAGAAGCTGTGATCCCTGGAGAGTCGAAGGGCAAATGAGCCAGACGCATGTGGTGCAATGGGCCTATTGTTGTGCACTGTGATGTATCTCACCACCAGTCTCCCTCGTTGTCTTGGACACCAACCTGCAAAAGAAGAGATCATCTCAAGCCATGGAATCTCATGAATGTAGAAGATTCCATACGTTCATAGATAAGTCCATGTCATAACCCCCATGCCAACGATTGCCCAGATGAGGTCAGAAGCCATCTTCAGACACAGTTTTCTGACATCCAGGAGGATTTCTATGACAAATAATGGATCATTTGTTGAATCCAGTGCTGCTGTCATAATGACCTACCCCACCAAAAAGACGTGATTCGAGGTGAGGTTGTCTTGGCCTCTCAGGAAAGTTGGCACCTTAAAAAAGCAGAAGACAACTCTGTCAGATGGCTAGATTGCGGACAGTGAATATCCCCAAATGTCTACAGCATGCACAGTACAAAGGGAACAACGGGGAGGTGGTCACCTCTACTTGATGCATAGATCCTACCCAGAGAAGGCCTTCTTCGTGTCCTCGTCCCAAGAGGACCCTAAATTAAACAAAGGACAGCTCTGTCAATGCCTACATCATGGTAACACTCAAACAATGGAGAGATGGTCAACCCCTATTTGACAGCCACTCACCAAGTTCTTGCTCTCTTGATTCATGGGTCCTCATCACTTCTGCTTCTCCGAACATGATGTTTTGGCCAATGGAAGTTGGATTTCCACGAAGAACAGAATCCTGGCAGCAACCCAAAATATACTTACCTTCCTGTAAGATCCATTGAGCTCAGTGGGC